CAAGTCGAGCATGAACTCATTCAGATACTTCTATCAACAGTTACTTTGCATGGCATCTATAACCCATCTTCGACGACTCTCTTTCACCTCCCTGAATGGCATCTTTAATCCCATTCAAGCAATATTATCATCCAACAGTGTTTCCGCCTTCACATGCGAGTGTAAATTTCTTGGCACTTAAGTGTTCAATCATCTTCTACCTTTAAATCACGAATGGCGGACATGTCAATCTAACTCTCCAGGTTTAAGAAGATTTAATAGGGGCAGCTGTTGTACCCCAAAATTTTCTCTCCCATTTTTCTTCAAGACATTCTTCTAGGATTCTGAAATGCTCAAGGCATTCTTCAAGCAATGGGTCCACAATTAGGTTTCATCTTTCACAGGGAAATTTGGATTTAAAAGGGATAAAATGGTTTTCATGGTTCCTAATATGTCATCAATAATGTTCATACCAAGTTTCATGCCTTACATCACAAGTTTGCTCAGTCAATGGCTCAGATAATGGAAAATTAACTATATTGGGTAAAAAGTCAATTGTGGTCAACATACAGTCAAACTTCAATATTTTTGGTCAACATCAAAATTTTGAAGTGACGTTCATCATTTGATCAAGTCTTGATCATGATTCCTCAAGAAAAACCCTCAAATCATCAAAAGTCAAAAATTACTAAATTAGGGTTTCCTTAAGAGAAGTCAACTGAACTTTGACCAAGCATAACTTTCACATGCTTCATCATCTTTTCCCCAACCAAAGCTCATTTTGAAGGGAATTCAATTCTTTACAACTTTGTCTCTCTAATATCAAGTCCAAAAAATGCATCATTTGAGAGATATAATCCAATACATTACAGGTCATTTCAAAAGTCAACAAAAAGACACTATTTGTCAAGGCAACTTACATCAATATAAAGTCTTCAAAAGAAAAAATAATCAACATAGAGATTGTATAGGACACCTTGAGCTTTCCAAAAAATCCAAGATCACCTTAAAAATATGAAAATTAAGAGAGTTATGACCATTGCAAGTTGGGAAATTTTGAGCGAATGTATGATGTTCAAATTGAGCAATCTTGATATTTTGGGCTATTGGGCCATGGTTTAAGAGTCCAAACATGTATTACACTCTTCATACACCTCAAATATTGTTCTTACATCCCTTGACCTATTTTTATTTTAATTATTTTAATTAGTTTTGAATTATTCATTAATAATACAAAATAAATAAGATAAAATCATGTTCTCTTCTACAAGGTCCAAGCCCACATATCTTTGACCTAATTTCCCCTATATAATCTCATCAATTCTCATACAAGGCCATACGAAAAACCTTGCCTCAAACTTGTCAAAAATATCAAACTTTTTTCAAGAACCCTAAAATCTCCAAATCCTTGTTACAAACGCTTTCACCATAAACTAGTCATTCCAATCAACTCCATTCATTCCCAGGGTAAGATTGGATCAAGTTTGATGGTTCAAAACACATGAAATATCATCGCATGGCATCACGCTTCCATCCTTACTTGAGTTTCATGTTTTTTTTTGTTTTACTTCATTCTAACACTTACTAATGCTTGACATGTGTTTATAAGACTCAACTATGCAGGTCTGGACCATCGTGGAACCCCCATGCATGCTAAATAATAAAACATCATTCTTACACTGATCTTCCTTTTTTTATGCCGTAACTCAAAAACCATTGAGTTTTAGCCCACGAAAACACCACCATTGAATTCAGAAGACTTGATTTAGGAGGGTAGAGTCCTCTTTATTCACTAACGTTTTCTATTTTCACAGGTGCAAGAATTGTCTAACCGGAGAAGACGACCGGAGCTAGGGCTTCGGCGCTTCTCCGGTCAATACTTCAGTTTGTATAATATATATGTTTTGATTCATTTAATTAATGGATGTATAGTCACCCCAGTGGCAGGAACGCACACTCTAAGTCACTTCTCTCCCAGGTCACGGGTTCGACCCCCGATTTTGCCAAATTTCTCACATTTTCATATTTTTTGCAGGTTTATTATATAATGTATTGATCATGTTATCCATCACCAACCACCGCTTGGCCTGGTGGTAAGCTATGCGTGGAGAATGCTTGATGGTGTGGGTTCAACACCCACCCCTATCTTTTGGTTTATTTTCTATGTTTCTCACTCTTTTTTCATAAAACCTTTTTTATATTTTTTTAATAAACCCTAATTTAGTTTTTAGTTTTTTAATCAACCCTAGATTATATTTTTTAGATTTTCTTGATTAAATTAAAATCAACTTAGATTTTAGGTTTTTGATTAATTTAATTAACTTAATTAATTTTTTTAATCAAATTAATTTAACCTTTTTTCATTTAGTTAATTAACTCTTTTTTTATTAAAATCAATTAGGGTTTTAGGTTAATCATCAAATCGTTTTCTTCTCTATCAAAATCATAAAATAACTTTTTTCTTCCCTTTATTTTACAATCTTCGCGTACTTTATTATTTTCATTATTTTTTCGATTATGTAACTGCTACGGTTTGTAATAGTTTTAATTAAGGTTTACTACTTTTCCCCCGATTTTATTGGTTGTACCCCCGCTCCTGAAGCCTTGTAATAGCGTAGAATTTTTATGTCCCGCACTTTACTTTCCGCACCTATATTATATATGCTTGTATGTATACATAATTGTATAGTAACTAGACATGTATGGAAAGATCTAAAACCAATCGTTAGATAACCCTAAATAAACAAGACTAAATAACTGAATATGAATCACTTTTCACCCACGCACCTCTAGGGTAACCTCACTTGTTGCCTCAGAAAATGGTCATGTCCCTTGAACGTAGGGATATCATTAACAAAGACCCTCGGTTAAAATCATCATAAAGATCATAGTCCCACAATGTCCCTCGAATTGCCTACGAGAAATTATCTTGTCCCTCGATGTTGCCTACGAATATATGATAATAGTCCCTTCAAATTGGTAAGATATCCCTAATATGTTGCCTTCAATGACCATAACGACGATCATACGCATGTCCCTTCACATCTAATGATAGGGCTTCCTACTAACTAATGGTAGGACAACACTATCTAAAGAAAAGGAAAATAACACGAAAGACTTTTGAGTAGGTAGATCGCTCGTAATCGCTTGCTCACAAAATCTTTTTTCACACGAAACACTTTAATGAAATATTTTCAAAAAAACAAACACTTTATACGCATTCTTAACTGATACAAGAATCATTACAAAGTTGTCGTACTTAGGCATTTTTTCAAAATATTTTTAAGCACACATTCACAAAACAATTTTCAAAACAAAGTGAGCTAGCGATTAAGAGCCCGTAGATATCGACGGATGAAAAGGGTGCTAACACCTTCCCTTTTCATAACCTATCCCCGAACTCAATAATCTCAAGGTCTTTTCTGTTCTTTTCATCCTTTCTTTATTGGATAAAAGAAAAGTCGGCGGCGACTCTTGTTATCCGCAACATTTACGATAAAACACAAAACCTAGTCAGTTCTTCCACCGTATTACACATATAAAATTACAAAGCGGCAAAAAATTCAATCTTCCCACTATACAAACTGAAAATACAATATCGATTGTAATCAAAAGTATATTTTCAATTCTATTGTTGCCTTTTAAATATGATGGAATCACATATATTCTATCTTTGTGCGATGTATGATGCACACTGAAAATATATTGTCTTTGTGCGATGTATGATGCACACTGAAAATATACTTTGATTTCAAAAGACAATTTAAAAAATGCATAAGATTTTCTTTTCATTGCAAGATGGAAAGAGAAATTCCCAAATTTTATTCCACATAAATTATAAAATATTTATTATGTCAAGTACAAATTATCTAAAATACTAAAATATCTTAGTATGAATAGTCATTAAAAAAATTAATTTTTTTTAAAAATAGAAACACATTGATAGAAGATAGACACGTCCAAACCCACACACATTCCCTTGGAATCTGATTGAACAAATAGAAAAGGGGAGAGATTTTTTTGAAAGAAAATAATTAAATTTACTATTTAAAGTGAGTTCTTTACACTATGATCAATTGTTGTTTTACTTACTTCACACAGGTTCCATAAGAAGGAAACACTCAAGGGACAATCTCATTCTGTCGGCAGTTATTGCTGCTTGTACATTGTTTATAACAATGAAATATGAAAGATGGTAGGATCAAACTTCTTCAAGCTTTGATGAAACTAAAGACAGACAACTTCAGAAAATTTCCAACTATAGGTAAGCATGTCGGTGAGTTTGCGAAAATCACAGTAGCATCACGATTTTATTGAAGATCCAAAGTGTAGTTTTTACTAAAATCATGATTCTGTCTAACTTACTGCCAACCCAAACAAGTCAAGCATTGCACTATAGATATCACTAGCATGATAATAACGAATAACCGAATATTGTTGAGATCAACAGTACCTATGATGCTAATGAAATGATTGTTCTGTTATATATAAGTGTAGCTACACAAGTTACTGATGTATTTTTGTCAGAGTACATAGCATAGAAGGAATTATCTGTACAGTTATCTTAACTCTATACAAGTGACCTATAAATATCATAAAAACAAAACTGGGAGTGGAAAAAAAAACATATGAGAAAATTACCAGCAGAAACACTACAGATCCTTATGCATTTTTATACAGAATGCAAATCAAACTGCTCCCACTTCAGCAATATCGGCATTGTCTTCTTCAATTAGTAGTTCGGGTTGATCGCAAAAAATTGTGGTTTATTCAAATTCTGTTACTTCATAGCACCACTATAGCCGTATTTGACTACACTTTGCACTAATTAGCGTATTGTGGAACAGTAGTGATTTGTTCAAATTATGCTACCCTATGGCTGGCTCCGTTATAGGTGCTACTATTTCACGACACTAACCAGAACCGACAATAGGATTTAGTTCCTCCAAAACAGGAGCCTGTCTGTCTGAATATAGAAATTGTTCACGAATTTCTATTCTACAAGAGGAACCCTGAGCAAACTACTCGGTCAAACTGAAACTGTTTACGTAAACCTGCGATTGAATAACTACCTTCCCAATTCTAAAACCAGGAAAAACAGTGAACCCCACTTTTGCCCTTCCTTTATTCGGCCACGTTAACCTCTTTGTAACATCATCCATGTAAACCATGGAGAATTCCACACCACTTTCCACTTGAAAGATCTCAACGACAGGATCAAAGGCATGCGACAGCTTATGCAATGTCCATACGGAGCTCGCCATCCCAACAAATGCCTCATAGAACATACTCAACGACCGCCACGAATTCAACACCGCTTCATTTTGATCCAAATCAACAAAAATCGACGACTCCATCGAAGGATGAACTAGCCTCTCATACTTCATTTCACAAAACCTTGAAAACTCGCAACCCGGATGAATACCAAGCAATTCCATCGGATTGCTAGAAACATGCTCCAACAATTGCTTCAAAGAACTATCTCTCCCTTTCAAATCTAAATGACACAACTCTCCACTCGACGTCGATTCTTCTTCCTCTTTTCTCTCCGAACTCAATCCAAAACAAACCGAATCAAAACCTTGAAACATCCCTAAACAAACATACGACAAAAGCGCATACTGATTATGCCCCTTTTTCGAATACACAACACCAGGATGAACCGCTTTCGCAGCCAAACCTAAATCCCACCCCGCTTTCCTCATCAAACCAATCAAAATCTTCGTAAACTTATGCGCCGCTCTAGAAGCATCATGCAACAACGAATCAAAAACCCTAACACTCAACAAAACATCACAACTAGGCTTCAAATTCAAACCCAAACTCAAACCACTATTCACATTACTACTACAAAGCTTCTTAGACAAAGTCACATTACCCTTTTGAACCTCACCAAGCTTTCTCCTCAGCGAAAAAACCTCATCATGCTTCTTCTCAAGCTCCAACTGCAACCGATTCGAAACAGTACCAAGGGTTCTCAACTTACTCTGATTCTCTTCCACTTCAGCCTCCAACGAAGAACCAAACGAAAAATTGGTGTACAAGTCAGGGTTACAGTAAAATTTCTTGCATTCAGAGAGTCGCTGAAGATGCGAAACAAGCACTTTATCAGCGGATTTCACATTCTCTTCAACGAAAGGAACATGCGCGCTTTGTAATTGGAAGTAATTTGCTTCAAAAGCCGAAACCGCGGCGAAGATCGAAGAGATTAGATCGTGCGACGTCGTTTCATTTAACACTATTTGTATCGGTGTAATCGAAGGTGCCGGTGGTTCCGGTGACGGCGAAGGTGATGGTGATGGCGACGGCGAAGGTGATGGTGACTTCGGAGGAGAAGAAAGTGGATTTGGATCGGGTTTGATGACGACGACTTTTTGGTCGGTGATGATTTCTTCGGCGGAGTCGAGGAGTGAGAAACCGTCGGAATCGTCGAGGTTTTCGTCGGCGAAGAATTCGAAGGTTTTGGTTTTGAAAGCTAAGGCGAATTTCTGAAACATTTCGGAGATTTGAGGTTGTTTGTTGTTGTTATTGTTTTGGATGGTATTGTTATATATTTCTGACATTTTTTTAAGGTTTGGAGATTCCAAGGATGGATCTGGAAGCAAAATTTTATAGAGAAAACGTGATTTGAAGTGAGATTCTGGTAATGTTCTTTGAATGTCTTGGAAGAAAGAGTATGAGTGTGGGGTTTGGTTTTTTTTATTTTTTATTTTTTTCTTTTTGTTTTGGGTTTTTTTGGAAATGTTTTTGCTTTTTGGGATGTGGGTTAGGTTCATCATTAGACCTACTGTTATTCTTGTTAACGGTAAAATAAAAGAAAATGACACAGCGTGGCGTTTGTGGTAATTCGTTTTTTTCTTGACCGTTACCGTTACACCGTTTTTCTTACTAATAGTTAATTTTGTTGGTAAATGGATAATAGGTTTTTCATACAAATTAAGTAACGCAACGATATTGTTATAAGATATTATAATTTTTATAAAATTAACCATATTAATATATTAAAAATAATGTAGAGAGTAAAAAGTAAAGATATAATTAAAAAAAAAATAGTAATTATTATTATATTGAAAAGTGAATGTGATAGTCATTTTGAAACAAAATTTATTTGTTAAAACGATATTCATTTTGGAACGGAGGGAGTAACATATGTTTTGTGATACTATTTATTTGAGAGAATTTATGAAAACAATTATTGATCGTAAGGTTTTTTCAACATATTTTCATAAATCTTTCTAGACATCTAAATTTTATTTTTTATATTTTAATTTAAAATATAAATATAGTATAATAATAAAATTATTTATATTTATTTAAATAGGTCGGATAGATTTAAAAGACTTTTTTTGCGGCTTATGGTCTAACCTTTTTAATTAAATAGGTTTATAAAAAAACATGTTTTATTTTTAAAAAAAAGTCTAGTACCTAGGCATATATAAACTAGCATGTAGACCCTTGTTATTAGTCTGACATATTTACACTCTAATGAAGAGTAAGAGTGTCTTCGGTAATACTAGTTTTTTAATTCACATGAATACAAAAAAAGTTATATTTAATATTTTTTAAATTTATACTATTTCCGTCTCACAATAGGTATTTTTTTGTTGAGATTTTCACACTTTTAAAAAAAATATTAATTATGTTGATTTCAATGTTAAAATGAATTTCATTTAATAAAATAACCTTATTAATAATAGGTATGTTAGTAGAAAGCAATAATAAATATTGATCTGACCTGATCAGAAATGGACCGTCACGGCTGGCTCCGAGCAGAAAGCTTTTTTGAACGAGGTGGGGGGGTACCTGCAAGGCACTCCGATGCTAAAGTAAGTGGGAGTACGAGCAGATAATAGCAAGTTGAGGTTAGAATGATGAATACCTGACCCTCTGGAAACAGAGGGTATTTATAGCCCCCAGCGCTGGGCCAAGGTTCCTTCATTGGGCCGGGCGGATTTGGCCCAATGGAGGAACTGCCAGGTACTACGTGGGTAGTGGGGACCCGCACGTGGTCCCCTTCCTGGATGTTCTGCGTGAAGTGCGGGCGGACGAAGACGCGGTCTTTCCGGGGTATCGTTGGGGGAACGGTGGACTGAGTCTGCCCTAGTTGGGATGCTCGAGGGGAGCTCGAGCTGGACAGCCAGGTGTCGAGCTGGACGCCAGGCCGTGGAGCTGGACGACATGGTGTCGAGCCGGACAGCAGGAGGTGGAACTGGACATCACCACGTGGAGTTGGACAGCAGGATGTCGAGCTGGACATCAGGATGTCGGGCACGAATGTGGCCCCTTTGCTCGGCGTGGTCCTCAGTAAGTCCCTTTGGACTGGGCCTTAGCAATGCTTTTGGGCCTGTCGGGCCCAGTCCAGAACAGGAGCCCCCCAAGTCGTGGTTCCTTGGCGAGGAGCCATGACTTAAACCCAAGTTATTCCCTCGTTGAGGTCTCGTGCCCGGGACAGAGGTGTGGGCCCTCGAGGGCCTCCTCGTGTCGTGCTCGGAGACGTCCTCGGTGGTGGATGCGCGGAGGATCCTTACCGGGCGCGTCGGCCGGGCACACGAGGTATCTTTCGGGAACTGTGCCGCCATCCTATGGGGTAGGGTCATCATTGCGTTGGGAGAAGCGCGTCGAGGAGATGGAGTCCGTGGTTGCCCGAGGTGACGTTTGGTATTCCACGTCATCACTATAAATAGGAACCTTGGGCCCCATAATACGTTTCTACTCTCTGTGCTCTCTCTGCTGCTGCTTTCCGGATTTTCTCCAGTTGCGACCTTCCGTCACAGATTCTTCTATTTCGTAGCCAAATCCCACTCTTTGATCCAAGTAAGTGATCTATCTTCTTCATTTTTCTGTTTAGAATGGATGATTTCTGGCGTTTGTAGATGTTTTAGGACCGTGCGCGTGGGATTAGCCCGGTAAACCCATGCTCAGCCCGACACATTCATGCCTAGGACCGACAAACGCATGTTTGTGGCCGGCGCATTCATAGTTTTAGGTGATAAACTTCAGAGCTGCCCGGGGTCTTCATGATCCAGGGCGCCTGATTCATGATCGCGCCCGGTATGTTCATGGTCTTGGCCGTGGGCTTCATGGTGCGGCTCGCCATGTTCATACCTCGGTCGTCATGCTTGGAGAGTGTCCGAGCAGTTGGTTTGAAGAAGAACACCAGGGTTCATGATGTCGGGGAGGCAACCATCCGTGGAGACGGACTTATGTAGTCGTGCATAGGACGACGTGATTTTGTCGAGCGTATGGCTTCGTGCTCAACTGACTGGTTTCCCGTGCTCTGCAGGTAACCATGGTGGACGAGCCGAGCTCTTCCGGACGCCGCGACCGCGAAGAACAGAGTGCCGACGAGTCGGTCACCCTGATTGATACCGTGACCGACCCTTTGCTGGAATGGGTGGGCGTCGAGCCACGGGGGATAGCGTCGTTCTAAAGCCGGGATGACCGACATCCATACGCTGTCATCGAAGAGGGTCAAGACCAGCCCGGCTTCCAGAAGAACTTCGTAGTTATGCTTCCGTCAACCCGTGCAAGGATTTGCTCGGTTTATCCGAATTACAGCTTCGTGATGTATGAGATCGCGTTCAAAGACCTAGGGCTGCGGCTGCCCTTCACTGATTTCCAGGCCGGGGTCTTTACGCACTTGGAGCTGGCCCCGTCCCAGCTACACCCAAACTCTCTCGCCTTCATCCGGGCGTTTGAGTTGACGTGTCGCTACCTGAGGATTGGGGCGACCATCCCGCTTTTCTTCCGGATATTTCACCTGCAGCGTCAGTCCCGAGGAGGGAAACATAGCTGGGTCTCCCTGAAGCAGTCGAGGAGACTCTTTAAGATGTATATGGACTCCGTGAGGGGGTTTAAGGACAAGTGGTACGTGGTATGGCCAGTTACCGACGCTGTCATAAATTCCCTTTTCGAGGAGGAGGAGCCGGTGAGCGACGAGGATGGGGAGGCGATGATGGGCGACGATGAGAACCCTGTGTTGGGTCGTAGGGCTAAAGTCCCCGTGCACTGGATGTCCCGGCATTACGAGCATGGGACGGGTTATTTCCATACCGCCGCCGGGGACATGTGCTCGGAAGACGAGCAGGCGTACAGCGCTCTTTGTCGGTTTGTCGATAGTTTCCATCCCGCCCGGTGGGTTACGCGGGAAGGGGATGATATCCTGGACAAAGATGGTTACCCAACGTTCGAGTCCCGCCCGATCGACACCAAGGCGCTGGTGGAGTGCCCAACGTACAGGCAGGCTGCCCGCCTGTTAGGTTGTATGTTGTTTGAAATTCTTTATTCGTCATTTATTTATGAAGTTTGCTCGATACTGACCTAATCTTTATTTTGTGCAGGTACGATGGCTAGTCGACATGAAAGACTCTTGAAATTATCCTGCGACCAGAGGCGAGGCAGGAGGGTCGTGAAGGCCCCACAGGCGACGAGGATGGGCCCACCACCCAGTCCGAATGCTCCTCAACCGGTGAGGGTGGACTCGCCGTCAAGCTCGGGGCCTGCGTCGGATCCAGAAGTCGAGGAGATCGACCCCAGTGCCGTTTTGATGCAGAGGAAGAGGACCCGTGTGGAAGGAGGTCCGACTGCTGGCGAGGACGCCGGTGCTGTTAAGTCCTTCGCCTTCCCCCTTGCTTCGAAGAGGCGGGCTTTTTCGAGCGGTTCCCTCCGACAGTGGTTGCCCACGAAGCTGCAGCCATAAAGAAGATGAGTAAAGAGGACCGGAAGGCGTATCTGGCCGCCAGCATGGACGGACTGGTAAAGATGGCCGAGATGGCTTTGGTGCTATCCGAGGATGGAGGGGATTCTGCCCGTGTTGAAGAACTCGAGCAGGAGAAGGCGGCCCTGACCTCGAGCTCGCGGAAGTTGAAGGTCGCTCTGGAACGCTCCGAGGGGATGTTCCGAGAGCAGACTGCGATGCTCGATGCTGAGAGGGAGATGTTGACCCTAGAGAAGGAGAAATCGGGGAAGTTGGCCGAGGAATGGGAGCTTCTTCGGGCAGACAGGGATCGTCTGGCGGCCGAAGTTGAACGCTTGGCCCAACAGGTCGAGGAAATGAATGCTGCCCTGCAACCTGCCGAGGATGAGCCCGAGGACATAGTAGCTTTGAAGAGTCGGGTGGAGTTGGTCGCTCATATCCGGCTCCTCGAGGTGGACTGCGTTGGTGCCCTGGAAGACGGGTTCAACTCTGCGGTCGGTCAACTCTCCTTGCTAAACCCTGGCCTGGTCACTGAGGGTATCGGACACACACATCAGATCGTGGATGGCGTGATCGTTCCTCCGCCCGACTCTCCGAACGCCGACAATGATGATTCCGTGGAGGTCTGAATAGGATAGTGGGCCTGCGTGCCCTTGATATTTGTATTCTTTGGGCCTGCGTGCCCGTTTATTGTACGTTGTGAACATCGTCGGCCTTCTTTGTCGGTTTATTAATGTTTTGTCGCCTTCGGGCATTTATATCAATGCTGTTTTACACTTTGCATGTTTTGCCCTTGTTTGA